TGCCCGAAAAAAAGTTGGTTTACATCAAAATGTCTATACAGCCGTGTCTGTACAATGCTAAAACACGTGAGCAGGATTTCACCAAAATTGATATTTTTCTGATCGACGTTGGCGATATTCCGGTCCATTGAATTTGAAAAGGCCTAATTTTTGATTTTTTCGGGGTAGGCTAACATGAAGCCTTAACGATATTTTTCAAAAATCATCAAAAGTGGCTCCTCTCTAGTTGCTTTTGATTTTTTTTGCTCTGATACTAGGAAGTACGATTATAAAAACTGGCGCGACACCTATTTTTGTTAAGTTCTCTAAAGTTTCAAAAATTTGAAAAACTAATTTTTTTGGCGTGTTCTTGTAACTTACAATATTGGAAGTAGAGAGTTTTGTTGTTTTATTGAAATCTGTTCTTCAAAATTAGATTTTTAAATGGAGCGTCAATTTCAATTTTCAAAAACGTGAGTATTCGCGCATTTTTGCACGAAATGCCAACTAGGTATTCTGGAAAATGGCGCTTCAAATTTATTTTCACAAAAAATGGTACGTTTTAAAAAGGGCAACAGGTCCGAATTTCGTTTAACTGCGGAATTTCGAAAATTGCAATTTTACAAATAGCAGAACGGTAAAGCGCTATTGCTAGCTCCACTAGTTTGCCTTTGTTCAAAGTTTTCTTCATTGATGATGTCGTGATTCGTCCAGACGAGACAAGTCTCCGTTTCACTTGCTTGCTTATGTGTTTTTGTCATCTCAAACCCGGATGTGGTTTGATAAAATGTTACAGTAGGACTTTCCAAACATTTTTACCAATTCTTCACATGAAAAATTCCGTTGAACACAGAACTAAGAGGTAAAATCTTGTTAAATTTTTTTGTCCATAGAGAAAATAGAAATAAACTCCCCAACAAACTAACATAAACAAAAGCTGTAAACACTATTTAAAATAATAGGTATTTAAAATCGCAGTTTCTCCCTTAGATTTTTGCTGAAAAACAATTTTTTCTGGCCTTCCATGCAGTGCGCTGGACTTGATTTTGGCCTAAAACTAATATGATTGCGCGCATATAAATCTTTAGTACAACCTAAATGTGGCTAACTTTAACCATAATATAAGAGTCTATCCATTTACATACTTTTTCAAAAGAAATTACTCTATGTACCAATAAACAATCCACATTTCCAATTAAATATGTCCTTTTAATATACTACATTTTAATTCAACGACAACACTAAATTATTTTACTTTATCGCCGTATATTTTAGTCCAGTCGGTATGTACATTTTATTGGAAAAATGTCATAAAACCTTTTTTCTTTGGGTATGTATGTGTGTGTACCCAGGTACTTAGTAATAAAACCCGAGTTTTCGACCTCCCAGGGACTCTTAACTTCCGGGAGCTCGAAAAAACCGTAATATTTGGACTTGTTTCGGTTTTTCTCTATAGCTCTTAACCATAAGTCATGTAGAAAAATTATTCAAATGATTTTAAGATTGATGCAATTTCTTATCACTTTCATATAAAAAAATTTTCGAAAACCGATTACCAAGCGAGCTATCAGCTTTTTGAAAAACGCTATTTTTTCGCCTCTCAGAAAGATACTTATTTGTGATTATTATAATCAAGCTATAATAAATATATTTATTATTTAATTGTAATTCGTCATTTATCTCACCGCCGGTGCACGCACGCACGCACACACAGACACACACACACACACACCATTGCCATGTTTATGTGTGTATTCGTGTTCGGGCATTTCATCAAAACGTATATACATTATTACTGGATAATTAGAATGGGGAAAATAGTGCATGGAGGGGAGGACATATTCTATGGGATGGTCGGAAAAGGAGCGACAGTTACAAACGCTATCATTAGCAACCGCAATACATACATTACGTTACACACCTCATGTAATGCGCACTGAGGACGCAATGGACGAGGACGGGCGAAACTCATTAAATACACAGTTATGATAAATTAAATGCTCGGGAAAACACCGGATATTCACGCGAAAAATGTAATAAATGGCGCATATGTACTTTGCAGTGCGATGTGGAAAAGGGTGCGATTATCTGTAAAAACTCTAAAATTAGCCGGTTAATGTTTTCACTATTCAGAAATTTGGAGATTATAGGACTGTTGTTGGGAAAACGTTTCGTGATGTTTTCTTATTAGCCACATTAAATTTTTAAAAAAAAACTACTGTCTTCAAACATAATAGAAAAAGTTTTCGAGGGCTTTCTCTTTGAGCAAACTGTTGATCATAAATGAAATGCTATTTGGAATAAGAAAGCTAAAGAAGGTAAAGAAAAAAATTGTATTCGTTGTGGAAAATTTTTGAAATGTCCAGAGGGCTTTATGTAATGTTCCCACCAAATTCTGAAGAATGTTTTTCAAAAAATCTCAAAGGTTTCAACCTTCGTTTCTTAATTTTGGAAAAAAAAATCCTACGCATGGTTGGCCGCTAGTACGGAGTAGTGTTTCCACAGACATCAGAGGACGGACAGACGACGTTTTGCTGTCAATGATTTTTTCGTATCAAGGAGCTACAATACAGGGATATCTGGTGACACCCAGTAATAGAGGACTTTTCCTTAAAATTTAGCAATTGGATTATCCACGATTTTTGTTATCGAAGTTTTGAAAAAAGAAAAGCAACACTTTTTTCGGTTTATCTGGGAACTCCAAAAACGTGTTTCCTTTGCAAATCGATTTTCTGCAGTATTAATAGCTTTCCCTGTACTACGTATATTACTCCGTATATACGTCGTATACGGGAAAGTTAAAAAGTAACCACAACGTTGATATGTACGAACGACGAGAAATTATAAAGTAACTTCAAATAAAAACTGGTATAAAAAAGCATTTACTAAGTGTACCAAAAAACGCCACAATAAAAAATAGTAGCCATTGTGGTGGGTCATTTGATACCGAAAAATTGATTTGACGGCAAAAACTTCTGTGAAACAACCGCTTAGCAAGCGAACTGTTCAGCTGATTTTTTTCCTAAATTTGTATTTCTTTGATCGCGGTCTGATGTCGCGGCCCGAATCATCTATTTTAATTTTGGGGGAACTTTATATGAAAGCCCCTAGAATACTTTCAAAGAAATGGCGCACCGATTTTGAATTACCTTTTTTTTTTGGATAGTCTGAACGACGCTGAAAAGATGGAGGCGTAGGTCTCATGTGAGTGAAACTCTGATTTTTTCGAAAATTGGGGGAAAATATCATTTTTTTTGGCATATTTCTACAACTTAAATTATTTGAGATAGAGATTTTCCTGAATGTATCGGTTCTTTAAGATTAATTTTGAAATAAGGAAAGTACATTTTTTCGAAAAATTTGAGTATTTTTTCGCGTAATTTGCCCGAAATATAGCATTTTACTTCTCCATAATGAGTTCTTTCATTGAGGTTATGTACATTTTTTTGGAAATTTTACAGTTTTCCCGCTAATATTGTGTGGTAATTTGTAACTCCTCCCGGCGCAGGAAAGGCGCGGTTAGCGTCCCGGTTATGAGCTCAGTTCGGTCCTATTCCTTTACTCGTGTAAAAACCTACCCAATTGTAACAATTTTCCTTAACTTAAGATTCAGTGATGGAAAGGGCATCGTAAGTTAAAGCATGCATGGGCATTCAAAATAAACAATTCGATTACTGTAAAGACAACGTTTATTCCTGGACAGAGCTGTACCAGGGAAGTTACATTTAAAAAATAAAAGAAAGGACCAATATTGAATAAAAAGAAAATATTAAAGATTAAAATTAAAAAGAAAGCTTACAACAGAGAAGAGTACAAAATTATTTTATAGTTAGATTTACAGAGTTGTCCCTGAGGACCTTGCTTGTGCCTTGGCGCTGCACCTTTGACAATACTGCCCAAAAGGGTTTTTATTGCCCCGTTACAATGCCTGAGAGCCCTTTCGTGGCCAGATGTTCTTGTAGGGCCCGGGTAGGCGCGGTAGGCGACCTCGCAGGAATTCGTTCGGGCGCACGCCCCCCCACCAACAAACGGCTGCGGCGGTCAGTGGCGTCTAGCGGCGTCTGCAGCCTGACCGCTCCTCCGGCCGGCCCGTTGTTTCGTTCTGATGAGGGGCGGTCCTCGGTGTTTGGCCGTCCGCCCGTGACGCTCCGCAAAGAATCCGAATGTCGGTCTCGGAAGAGCTGCTTGCTGGGCGAAATTGATCAGCAAACTCGGCGACGTCGCCCCCGGATCGCAAGTCGGGAGCATACAACAAATGGTCTCCCTTTGCGTATGCGATCCTCTCGAATAAAAATTTCAGTAATGCGAAATTCCTGCAGCGAATACGCAGTGACAAAGGATTCGACAATTTACTTTTTGGAAGTGCTTTTGCACTCCTCTAAAATTCTCACTGAGGAATTCCGTGTCTGTCACCCCAGTGATTTCAACTAAACTGCTATTTAAACCAGTGCTTCAGAGGTGCTACTCGCCTTTCTCCCGAGCCTTGGCTCCCACTCCAGGAGGAAGTCTTCTCTGACCAACTGTAATTTTTAACAAAGTGCCTCGGAGGCGCACTCGCTCTCCCGCGAACTGGCTCCCACCCAGAGAAGTTCTCTCTCTCTCTACTGTTAATTTTGTTTCTTCCGTAAACGCACGAAAAGTTAACTTTTACCCCACCCTTTTTCCTCATATGTTCTTGCTCCCTACAACGATCGCGTCGCTATTGGGCTAAAAGTATGGCGTTGTACACTAAATTTGGCCAATAGGGCTCCGGCGGAGTATAGGAAATTTTCCAGTTCTCTGTTTTCGAAAGTAGGCCACGCTCTCTGAAGGGGCT